TATTCCATTCCATTCCATTCCATTCCATTCCATTCCAATTCCATTCCACCCTATCCTATCCTCAAGGAATTCCTGTCTAAACCAACCTTTTTCTCTATTCCAAGTCCCTCACGTCTCCCATTCCGATTCCACACACACCACCCCCTCAACCCCCCCCCTGCTGGCGCAGCTGTTTACAGAGGAGCTGGGAAGGGCAGGAAAACTTTATTTAGACTAAAAAATCCCCTCACGGGGGGTGGGGTGGGGATGAGAACAGCCCGGCCCCAGAGCCCCTCCGTGTCCCCCCTCCGTGGGATGGGCAGCTCACCCCACCCACCTCCGAGCCACCGGTGCCACGAGGGATGGGGTTTTGGGGCTTTCCTTCACCCATCTCCACGTCTCCTGCAGGGAAAACTCCAAACAATGCCCCCCCCCTTCTCCAGGCGCTTCCGCAGGGATCCTGCAGATGCCACCTCCTGGGCACGGGGCATTGTTCAGGGCAGTGCCGGAGCCGCCGCCTGCCGTGGATTAATTTCCCTTCTGGTTTCGCTTCCGCCTATTAAAGCTGGGAAATGACACAGCTCTGACTTCATCCCACCTTCCTCCTCCGAGTGAAACCCCTGGAGCTCTCCAGGGGTTTCCAGGATCCACCGTGCGGGATGCCCGGAGCATCCCTGGGATGCAGCTCCCTGGGCACAGCAAGGACCAGCAGCCTCCTTCTTCTTCCTTATTTTTGCCTCCTTTTCCTCCCTTTTCTCCTCTTTTCCTTCCTTTCCCCCTTCTTTTCCTTCTTTCCCCCCTCCTTTCCCTCTCCTTTTCCTTCTTTTTCTCCTTTTCCTTCCTTTTCCCCTCCCTTTTGAGTTTTCCCCCAGGAAAGGCATCGCTCCCTTGCTGCTCCATCTCTGTGGCAGCTTTTACTGTTGGATTTTGGCAGAAAAGCTTTAATATTAATATAGAAAAAACAAGGCAATAAAGTAGACTGAGCAACACAGGGATCCGGGGAATAGGAAACAAGGTTTTGGGATGGGAGGTGGAAAAGCTGTTGGGTTGGCTCCTTGCTGTGGCTGAGATGGGTTCGCTCTGTGTTGCCACACGTGAAAAATGAGTAAGAAAAAAAGGTAAAAAGGAAAAAAAACCCACCACCCATGAACAAAAATAGAGTGTTTTCCTTTTCCAGACAGAAACACAACTCCAGCCCCACACCTGGGATGCAGGATGCAGCTGGGATGTGCCAGCTGGTCCCAGCCAGGGAAGAAGAGCCGTTTCCTGCTTTTACCACCTTATGGCACATTTCATCCAGGTCCCTTCGTTTATTCTCCAAGTTTTCCCAGTTTTTGCAAGTCTCACATGATCACACCCAGCCCTGAGGAGCCGTTCCCAGTGCTGAGCCAGCAGATCCCGCTGAACTCTGACTCCCAGCTCCCACGCCAAGGGGTTTGTCCCTCCAACACCATCCACTCATCCATCCCTGTCCTCATGGACCTTCCTCGCCCCTTCCCTCCCCATCCCTTTAATCCCAGGGTATTTTAACCCTTCCCTGCCCCCCCAGCAGCTCCAGCCCTGGCAGGATTCATCCCAACGAGGTCAGATTTCTGCTTGGGTTGGGATTTTTGAGATTTGATGTTATTTCTGTGGGTTGAGAGGAGGGTTTGGAGAGATTCACTTCCTGCTCAACATTCCTTGGCACTTAACCCTTCGTTGAGCATCTCCCTACAGATGGGAGAAGCCCCTTTGGCAAAGCAGGGAGAGCCCTGGGAGGTTGGGAATTGGGTTTGGGACGGCAAAGTTCTTCAGCTGGGTCCACTCTTGGTTGGAAAAAAGTCTACTTTGAGGAATTTTTGGCTTAAAATCGTTTAGTATCCTTGTCATAAAATCTACGGGAATTCTTGGTTTAAAAATAAATTGGAATTCCTGGCGTAGCCTCAACAGAAATCCTCATCTTAAAATGGATAGGAATTCTGGGTTTAAAATCAATAGGAACTCTTGGCTTAACATCAGCAGGAATCCTTGGACTAAAATCAACAGCCCGAGGAGGTGAAATGCACCACCCACTGTGACTCTCCCGGTGGTCGCCCCGGGGGTCTCCACACCCATCCCGGTGGTTTTCCCTCCCCTCCTGCAACCCTTTCCCTCTGGTCCCACCTGGCCCAGCCCAGTTGTTGCCATTAAACCCCCTCTGCCCATGGAAAACCCACTTCCCCTTTCTCCTCTCGAGGAGGAAGCTCCTGCTCCCGCTCCCACGAGCACCCACAGGGAGGGAAAAGGGACCCAGCCAGGGGTTCATGAGGAGGAGCATCATCCTCCCGCTGTTTTCCTGGAGAGATTGGAAATATAGGGCTGGGAAAAGATTTTACGATGGGGAGAACGTGCCTTGAGGGATGGTGGATAAAGACAAGGGGAGAGCATGGGCTGCACCTCCTCCCGGGGTTGTCCCATGTCCGACCACCCTCCGTCTGGGAATGGTTCTCTTTCCAGGTGAATTTTCCCAGTTATAAATTTCTTCTTGTCCCTGGAAGTGCCCAAGGCCAGGTGGGACGGGGATTGGAGCAACCTCATCTGGTGGAAGGTGCCCCTGCCCACAACAGGGGGGTGGGACGAGATGAGCTTTAAGGTCCCTCCCAACCCAAACCATCCCATGATTCCACGAATCCACACCTCAAAACAGAGCTCCTCCCGTACTATCCAAGACTGATCTTGCTCTTTGCTGATTTTCTAACCTCCACGTCTGAGAGTCGCCAAAATACTGGTTTTACACCACCTGATTCATCTCTGTCTCCTTCACTTCCCCTTCTCCTTCCCCCTTGAGGTTCTCACCAGCTCTCCCCCACATCCCACTGATGAGCCCCTCACTGTCAGCTACTCCCCACAAAGCAGAAGGGCTGGATCTCCTTTTCCTCCCTGTTTTCCCTCCAAGAAATGTTCTTCCTATTTGGCTTCTATATTCAGAGAAGGAGGAGAACCAGCAGCTGATCCAACACGGGCCAAGGAGCCGACCGGGAACACCGGGCACGGCTCCGGAATCATCCCAGCCCGGGGTGTTTTCATCCACTATAAAATAAACACATGAGCGTTCGTGTTTCTTCTTCATGATTAAGAAACCGAGGCACGGGAAGGGGAAACGAAGCCAAGACCAAAAAATCCCCCAAGATTTCATGGGAAGTCAGGGCTGACTCTGCCTCCCAGCCCGCGTCCCTGCCTTCGCCTCTCTCCCAGAAGGATTCGCTATTTATAGCTCCGCTCCGCTCCGTTAGAACATAATCAAAACCATCCTCCCTCCATCCCGGAGTTCATCCAGCGGCACTAACCCTCCCCGGGGGGGAAAAAACTTCCCAAGATTTGCAACTCAGCCTTTGCCGCGGGGAGCTCTGCCCGTGCCGGAGCCGTCGCGGGACGCGCTCCTGCCCGGCCTCGCCCGCCGGGCACGACCCGGGCGCTGCTCGGAGCTACCAAGGACATCGAACCGCTCAGCCCAGCCCCCCCCGAGTCATTTCCTGCCTCCGTGGGGACGGGCTCGAGAAAGTCCCGCGGAGCAGCGACCAGCGGCAGACGACACCCGAGGCAGGAGGATGAACTTCTTCATCGCCGCGCTCCTGGTTCTGCAGTTCGCGCCAGGTAAAGCCGTTCCCCGGCTTCTCCCGCGGGTTCTCCGGGGGCACTTGGATTTTATCTCGCTGCTCTGACGATTCCCACGCTCCTGAGATGCCGCGGGGCACCTGGGGGGGGGAGGGATCCGGGAGGCTGAGAGGTCTTGGGGTGTTGGCTTGGAGAAGGGGCAAAGAAAACAAGGGGAAAGCGCTCTGTAATTACTGGAAGTTCCATAAAGTCCGTGCTTGGAGAACGGTGGGATAACGACTGTTTCCCACATTGAGTTCAAATCATTTGTAGATTCCAGCTGGGAGCTATTAGAGACACAGACACGGAGGAAAAAGAATCCAACAGGATTTCCTGGAGAATTAGGTGGGCAGTGCGGAGCCGGGGGAGAGCGGATGGGGGTGTTGAGGGAGGAAACCCCCACTTGGAGCTGCTTAGGGATGAGCACAATATTCCCACCTCTCCGGGAAGGTGGGATACGGAGCAGCACCGGCTGAGGAGCTGGAAACTGCGGCTCTGCCACGCCAAGAGCCTTCAGCCTCCTCTTCCTCCTCCTCCCTGAAGGTGAGGTGTCAAAAGTGGGAGGATTCCCAGCTGGGAGCTTTTTTTCGTTTTTTTGGGAGATATTATTCTTAGCGTGGCTCCAGTGCAAACACAACAGCTGACTGGAAATAACTTCCTGGGAAAGCACGGGATAATGTGCCCCAGAGCTGCAGTTCGTGCCACTGGAGCATTTTCAAAGGATGAGCGTGGGAAGGAGCGGGGGTGGGAGGGCAGGTCCCCATTTCAGTTCAAATTTCCCCAAAAGCTCGGGATGGGGCTGGGACAGACTGAGGTGCTGACACAGCAACGGGCGAGGCTGTGTCGTGTCCCCCAGTCCCACCCCGGCATCTCCAGGCTGAGTCCGTGTTTTCAGAGAACTCCCTCGTGAGAATTTCGGGATCTGGGCTTCTCGCTCAGCCGCTGCTGGCACTGAGAAAGTCAGGGATATGATGGGAAGCAGTGGGAAGGTTTGGAGAGGGACCTGGATCTCCAGCCAGCCCTGGACACAGCTGAGGGCATCATTCCAGTTGTTAATGGTGTGACTTACAGTAACAATTCTCTAACTATCTTACTTGTGACTATAATGAGTACCAAACTATAAAAATATCATATTATTCCATGAGTATCTTCTATGCTCATGAATATCTTATGTTAGTGCCGGAGTCTGTGAGAATGAGAATATTAGTATTCCCAGTTAATTTGCTTCATGAGATCCTGACAGAACAAGAAAAGGGTTGGACTTGATGATCTTGGAGGCCAAAGGCACGAGGGCGCTGGAGCAGCCGGGGTGCTGGATGAGCAGCAGCTCATCCCAAAGGCAGATCCATCCCAGCACAACTCCGGCTCCGGCTCCATCCCCACCGCTGCATCTCCCCCTTCCGGCACATCCACACCCAAAAATGAAGGAAAAGCCCGGCTCTGCTCCGATCTCCCACACCTTTTGTTGGGAAGCCTTGGACCCAGCTATGGGCCAGATGGTGAATCCGTGACTCCCTCGGGGAAGGGGTTTTGCCCAAAGCTGTGGCTCGACCCGAGGCTCTGCTGGCGGTGCCGGGTGATGATCCGTGTGTTGTCTGCTTGTTTTCAGGGAATGCAGAGGTGGAAGACGACGAGGAGGAGATCACACAGTTTTTATTCGACTACGCAGCTCGTTACAGTGAGAAAAGCAGTTTTGAAGGCATTTTCACCACTTCCTGGGAGCCGCAGGAGCGAGCTGGGATAAGCAGGGCTGGGAGGGCTGCGGGAGCCTCCCTCCAGCCTCCTCCAGGCAGGGAGATGAGGCTTTGCCCATGGAAAGGCACTGAGAAACCACTGAATGGAGTCCTCTGCAACGACAGCTACTCAGTTTCTTCATGGAATCATGGAATGGTTTGGGTGGGAGGGATCCTTAAAGATCCACCCTTAAAATCCTGGCCACAAGCAGGGACACCTTCCACCAGTCCAGGTTGCTCCAAGCCCCGTCCAACCCGGCCTTGAGCACTGCCAGGGATTTATCCCAGCTCCCCAGCTCAATCTGAGTTACACTGGTGTTCAGAGGGGGAAAGCCATGCAATAACAACCCCTGGGGGGGGGGTGGGACTCGTGTCACCCCACACGGGACAGGGCACAGTGTCCCAACCCCCTCTGTGCCCCCTCCCTCACCCGGAGCTGTTTCCATTCCAGGTGATTACCTCTATTCCACGGGAGACTATTACTACGACAACACCACGGGAATGCCCACCCCCTACACGTTTGAGATGGATTCCTACGAGGTGAGTTGGGTTTCTCTTGGCATTCCCCTCCCAAAAAAAAAACAACCAGGGGCTTCCTCACCCAAACCGCTGCCACAAGGAGAAAGAAATGGGTTAAAACAGCTGGTTTTTAGATCACAGGACAACTGACATGAGTTTGAGCAGAACGTGCGTGAAGTACAACCATGGAACGCTTTGAGCTGGGATTTATTGTGACAGTTTGCACAGACACTGAGAAATCCCTTGTTTTCTTAATTAAATTCCAACAAACCTGTCCCAAAGAGGGATCCCTCAGGAGTTAATCCTGTGCTGTGACATCCCAGGTTATTTCTTTTCCTCCACACCCAGACAAACACCATCGGGGATTATGGGCAGTGGTTTCCACAAGAGGATGCCACCACCAAGATTTCAGGGATACCAGACACGGATGCTCCAGGGGATTCCAGGAATGCCAAGGACAGTCAGGTACTTGTCAGGACGTGAGCTGTGCCACAGGCTTTTAGCACATTAAAACATGGGACTTTTTGACTGATTTATTTTCCTTGGCTCCACAGGATTTCTGGGAGTCAGCGGGATCACCCCTCCAGAGCCACCTCCCCCTCGTCACCCTCCTCAGTCTCCGGGGTCTCCTGCTATGACCCCCCCATGCTCCTCCTCCGAAGGTATTCCGGGATTTCAACACTTGCTCAAAGTGTGTCCTTCAACCCTGGAAAATCCAATTCTCCCTGAAGCAGCAACTTTCCAAAACAATGGAAAGATAACAAACCCTCCCAGGCATCCGGCTGCGATACCAGGGGAACCCCAGCAGCTCCAGTGGCCACTGATGGCCTGGAGAGGCCTTTCAGGGCGTTTTCCCAATGACCTCCTGGCTTTCCGTGGGAGCTTCCACGGGGTGAGCGCCCGTTTGGCCCACACTGGGTCTCAGCCCCAGGTACCTCCTGCTGCTCATCCGCCCACACCCTTGTTCCATAAAATCCCGGAATGGTTTGTGTTGGGATGAACCTTGAAGATCATCCCCTTCCACCCCCTTCCATGGGCAGGGACACCTCCCACCAACCCGTGTCGCTCCAAGCCCCGTCCCACCCGGCCAACCTCTTCCCGTGGCTGGAGCTCTCCAGTGTCCCAGGAACACCCCGACCCCATCCCGCCACACGCGGGGCCGTGAACTTCCTCACCTTCTCCCCTTGTTCCAGACACAGCAGCTGGGATGGAGATCAGGACTTCCTCAGGTGTTGGCAACGACAAACAACATCCTCCCCACGAGGCGCCGCCTCCGCTCCGGAACCGCCGTGACTCTCCCAAAGGTTCCAGCGGGGGGACTGTGACCACGGTGCAAACTCGGAGAGCTTTGTAATGCCTCAGTCCTTTCCTATTTCCTCTGATTCTGTTGTAAATAGGAGCCCCTGCCAATAAAACCCCCAACAACCGGCGCGGGGTCTGTCGTGGTAAATAAATCCGTAAATAAATAAATAAATCCACCAGAACAGGATCAACAAACACCAACAACTCGTGGGGTTTGTCCCATCAGAAGGATCTTCCTGAGCCTCCACACCCAGCCAGGAGCTTCTCACTTAGTTTCTTCCACAGTTGCTCTTCACACTGTTTATTTTCCAGAAACACCCGCGACATTTGGGTGCAATGAGAAGCTGGACCAGGAAACCTCCAACCAACCCAGCCCCCCCCCAGCTGCCCATGGAGAACAAACCGTTCCAGAAATGGGGGGGGGGTTTGGTCAAGAAATTGGAGTTAAATTCCTCTTGGGTGGGAAAAAAAAAAAATGCAATCCCACACTTGTTGCTTTTCCTTGGAAGAGTTGATGGGAGGGAGGGATAGAAAAGTGATCCAGGTGTACCCAGCTGGTCTTGGAGCTCCTACCAGTCAACAGAGGATGAGTCAAGGTCAAGCCAACGGAGGTGGAGTCAATCCAACAGGGGAGGTCATGGTGGTCAGGGCCACCTTGTCCCCAGAGCTCCCTCCGGACACTCCCCACCATTGCTCACCCGGGTTATCCAGGCTCCCAGGCTCGGAAAGCAGAAGAGTTTTGTTTCCTAGGGAAGCCAAAAGGCCTGGAACGGGCTTGGGAGCGGCTGGAGGATGCACTGCTGGCCAGTGCCACCTCCTGGCTCTGTGCTGCCACCGGGGTGCACTGAAAAAAAGCCAAGAGCTCCCTTGGGAAATGATTTAGGAACATGTGGCAGTGAGATTTCCAACCCTAGAGGGGAGTAAAAAGACATGAAAGGAAAATAAAGCACGTGGATGAAGTTTATGGGTTTATTCCTACAAACCACCCCTCTAATGCACACACATGGAGAACAAACCAGTTTGTTGTGACCTGGCTTAACCATAAATTGTATCACTCCCTTCCCAAGCAAACCCTCCAGTTCCAAACTTTCCTGACCAAATCCTCACCTTCCAGCATTGTTTTGGGACAGGGGTGTCCCGACCCAATCACACCACAGATGGCTGGACATGCCCTCCTCACTCCTAAAGCTGCAAATATTCACCCAAACCTCTCTAGTCCAAAAATGCTCTTTTTTCCCTGCCACATCAAAGGCACTTTCCTGCCAGGAACAGCGTCAGTCAGTCCCTGCTGCTGGGTCATCCTCGACCACCCCCAATGCTCTGGGTCCATCCTGAGGCTCCAGCTGGCAGAAAGCTCCAAATTTTCCATTATGGGACCTGCAGAGTTGCACACACCAAGAATGAGCAAACCCCTGGGATGGGGGAAAATACGGTGAGTTCAAGGAGTTATTTTAACTCTTTCCCTTTGGAACCCCAGGCTCTCACCAGCGTCCTCCCCAGTGGTGCAGCCAGGGGTTTTTCCTCCCCCTGCCATCCTCCCAGCTCTCTCCCAAGCTCCTTTCCCAGATTTACCCCTTTCCTCCTGCTCGGAGGGTGCTGGTGGCTCCCTGGCCGGGGGCTCCGTGAGCGGCCGCCCGGCTCTCCCGGCAAACCCCCGGGATAAGCAGCTTTAACACAAAGAGGATTTTCCCTGCACTTGTGAGAACCTTTCCCAGTTATCTCCAGGCAGGAAGGGAGCAGGAGGCTCTCGAGGTCTCCGGTGTTTTCGGGCAGCTCCTTGTCAAACCCTCCAGGAGCCAAATCCTGCTCCCAGCATGACTCCCATGATCCAGGTACGATGTCCTGGGGGATCCAGGCACGATGTCCTGGGGGATCCGGGCACGATGTCCTGGGGGATCCGCAGCCCACGGGGTTATTTTGGGGTTTCAGCCCCAAACCCACCAGGGAAGGACACAAAAATGGCTCAGGAAGAGCCACTCAGAGCTGGCTCCGGGGTTGAAAACCCCCTTTTTAGTGCCCTGTGAAGGTGAATTTGTGCAGATTTAGGCAATCACGGGGTCTGGGGCTGCTCTCCTGCCTTTAATATTCCCAAGTTCCTCAGTGAATTCCCGACTTCTCGCCCTCCCCACGGATGGAGCACTGTCTGTCAACACCAACCCTTAAAGCCCCAACGTGGAGAACACGAGCTGTTCCCATCCCTTTTTCCTGCTGCTGCCCAAAAGCCAACACCTAATTCCAAAGTAAATGGGTCCTGAGGTGGGCAGTGCCCACGTGGAGGGTTCCACACTCAGTTTGAATCCCATAATAAAGGTAAAACAAGGAATACACACAACTCTGCAATGAGGGAACACCTCTGCTCTGACCCCCCAACAAACTTTGATTTCCAAACGCCCATTTTTTCCCTAAATGCCTATTTTTCCCCCAACAACCCTTTCTTCCCCCCATCAAAGCCCTTTTTTTCCCCCCTCAACTCCCAGTTTTCTCCTCACAAACTCTGTTTTTCTCCTCCAACTCCCTTTTTCCCCCCCAGCTCCCTATTTTTAACCCCTTCCCAAAACACCAGTCGAACTCCTTGGCTGCCTTCTCCCCTATTTGATCCTGAAACAGGAAATATTTTCTCTGCAGAATTTAAACAAAGCTGGAACAAACCCGAGATTCCCATGTTGGATTGTTGGTTTTTGTTTGGGTTTTATTTTTACTCTGTCACCAAGTTGCCAAAATGCCTCCATTTATTTATGTCTCCAAAGTTAAAAGAATTAATATGTAAATATTTGGAATTGCTTGTCTCGGAATTGTTCCGCCCGGGCACGAGGGACGTTGGTGGCTCACAGGCTTGGAGTGCGATCATCTTCCGGGACAAAAGCTCACACAGAGAAAAAATTCATTCGCTTTAAATAGGAAAAAAGCTTCCCGTGCTTCCAGAGGGACCTAAATCCCAACCTGAGGGGGATATGAATCTCATCTATCATCCCAGGGGGATACAGATCCCATCTAGCTATCCAGAGGGGGATCTAAATCCCATCTATCCACCCAGAGGGGAATATAAACTCCATATATCCACCCAGGGGGATCTAAATCCCATATATCCACCCAGGGAGGGATCTAAATCCTATGTACCTACCCAGGGGGATCTAAATCCCATCTATCCACCCAGGGGGATCTAAATCCCATATATCCACCCAGGGAGGGATCTAAATCC